TTCTGGCCTTGCTAAAAGAAACACCCTGCAGACTAAATACTAGGTGATTATTTTTCAAGAATTTATAACTACATCCTAAACTATCGGTGGGAACCATGATGTGGAGGTGCTGGTGTTGGACTGGAGTGGACAAAGTCAGAAGTCATGCGACACCAGGTTATAGTCCAACAGTTTTGAGGAAGGGTCACCAGACCCAAAAAGTTAACTCTGTTTTTTCCTTCACAGATGCTGCCAGACCTGCTGAGCTTTTCCAGCAACTTTGTTTTTGTATACTCCAACAGGTTTATTTGAAGTCACGAACTTTTGGAGCGCAGCTCCTTCATCAGGTGAAGTAGAGGTGAGCACATAGGAACAGAATTTATAGGCAGAGAGATCATTGCAAGATCATTCTAGGTAATTAAGAGTGTCAAAACATTGTACAAATGGTGTGAGTAGAGTTTTGACAGGCTGAAATAACAAGTCTTTGCAGGTGATCAAAAGTGTCAATAGCAAGTGAAAGGATGACCTATAATCTGATTAATTAAGGCAGGGAGATCATTACAAAAAAATAAAAAATAAGATGGTGCTAGAAACAAACTAAATGGCTGGAATAACATGATAGGTATGAGAGTCACATGATGAGGGTCTAACCAATGTAACAAGTAATCCAAAACTGTACAAACTTAATTAAGGTAGAGAGATCATAACAAGTTATCAAGGTTATGGTGTCCAAACAGGACAGTAAGGTAGGTTCTGCAAACACAGAACAGTATGGTGGGGTTACATGTAGTGCAATATGAACCTAAGATCATGGTTGAGGCCATCTTTGTGGGTACAGAACTTAACTATCAGTTTCTGTTCAGCGATTCTGTGTTGTTGTGTGTCCCGAAGGCCGCTTTGGAGGACGCTTAGCTGAGAGTTGGGGACTGAATGTCCTTGACTGCTGAAGTGTTCCCCAACTGGGAGGGAACATTCCTGTCATGCAATTGTTGTGCGGTGTCTGTTGTTGTAGCGTCTGCATGGTCTCACCAATATACCATGCCTCAGGGCATCCTTTTCTGCAGTGTACGAGGTAGACAACATTGGCCGAGTCACATAAGTACCTATTGTGTACATGGCTGGTGGTGTTCGCACGTGTGATGGTAGTATCCATGTCGATGATCTGGCATGTCTTGCAGAAGTTGCCATGACAGGGTTGTGTGGTGTTGTGTTCATGTCGTGCTACATGTAACCCCACCATACTGTTCTGTGTTTGTTAAATCTTCTTACTGTTCTGTTTCAACACTGTCACCTTGATAACTTATTATGATCTCTCTACCTTAATTAGTTTGTGCAGTTTTGGATTACTTGTTACTTTGGTTAGACCCTCAGCATGCAACTGTTATACCCATCATATTATTTAAACCATTTGGTTTGTCTCTAGCACAATTTTTTTTTTAATCTTGTAATTACCTCTCTGTTTTAATTAATTGGATATATTTGAAAAGTTCTTTCTAGCCAACATGCCTCTATCAATTGTTTAAGAGAGCAGTCTAAATTTTTCTACTTGCCTATTCTTTCCCTAAAGTATTAAAATATTCTTGCCATTTGCAGATTAATTAATTGTCAGTGACTCATAACCAATCAAGGATATCAGGTCACTGGATAACAACCAAGATTAGATTTATTTTCCCTTCCTCAGGACAAGCAAGTTAGTATCAGCAGTAGTGCTTCAAATGCAATAGTCATTGACTTTGTAATTAACTCTAAATAACAAAAGCTTTTCATTTCTAGAGGTTTTCTAACTTGCATTCATAGAAGCATATAAAATATGCAGCACTGGTGAGGCCATTCAACCCATCATGTCTGTGTTCATCGAGAAAGATTTATGAAACCTAATCCCATTTTCCAGTTCTCAGTTCATTGTCTCACAGGCTATAACAGAATGTTGATATCCATTGGCCTGCAATTTAGAGATATCTTCATCATTATCAACCACACGGCCAATCATCTGTAATCCCAATCCGTAAATTTAAGTCATTGATATTATTATTTATAGAAGTATCATTTGTTTTTGAGTTTGGATTTTGAACTAGTGATATGTGGGTTTTGGCCTATGTCTACAAAAGACTTGTGGCAAAGTGGTAGTATCCCTTACTATGAGCTAGTAGGTCTGGATTCCCCAGATATGTGTTTAATATGTCTGAATAACTTGGTTTTTAAAAAATATTTATTTACAAAAGAGTTTAAAGATTAGCTTGTCAGTACATCTAGATCCATGTTTTCCTTTTTAAGAAACCAGTATGAGAGAGGGAATCACTCGAGTGACAATGAGAATTTCTGTGTGTTGGGAGAGCTGTATGAGTGGACAGGATAAACAATGAAGAGCTTTATCTTGCTTTATATTTAAAAGGATCAAGACTTTGTTTTACTTAGTGGGCGTAGAGTGGGGAAGGGGGGCCAACCCATTGCTTGGAAAGCATTTTTTTCAGTTTAGAGAGTATATGATGGGAGTGAGATGTGTGAACCAGTTGCTCATGGAGAAAGGAGATAGCTTAGAACTGTTACAAAATAGCCGCCTCAGCGTAGGGACTTTAGTTCGAAAGTCCAAGACCAGAAGTGTCTAGTTAGAACTTCGGAGGTATTATTCGAATTTGAGAATGTCTGAGCTCAGTTGTGTGACTAATCAAGGAAAAGGCCACCAAAATCCCAAGATTTGGAATTGAAAGAAAAATATTAAGTTAAACCTGTGATAGAAAAGCAGACTCTCTCTGGTATTTGAACACTCTAAAGTGATGGTGTTGAGATGGGTGGGATTGTATTTTTGTCTGTTTTAAAACCTTTCAAATCTGTATTTTATGTAAATAGCTTGGTTTATTCTGCTTCACCTTCTATTCTTTTGCAGGAAATAGATCCTGTTTTATTGTTAGAACCAAATCGGCAACATTGCCTGCTTATCTTTCAATGAAGGGTAACGTTGCTAAATGGTTAAAAACTAATCAAGATATGATCTATCATGCCAGATTTCAGTTTGGAATTTGACATCCAGCAATATCACCAGCTGAGATCATACGAATATACATCATGAAAATACAAGATAGGAGCAAATGACTGCATATGCTGGAATCTGTACTGAAAACAGGAAATGTTGGAGATCACAGTGGGTCAGGCAGCATCCATGAAGAGAAAGCAAGCTACTAACTTGCTCTCTGTCCATGGATACTGCCTGACTCACTGTGATCACCAGCATTTGTTGCTTTCAGTCATGAAAATACAAGAGACCTGTTTCAGATCCTTGCAGCATCGCCGTGGAAGCAGAATTCTGGACATAAAAAACATTCACTGATCATTGTATTTTGATCTTATAGTGACACATTTACTGTCACAAAATAACAGTTTCAATCAAAAAATTAGCATATGAAACTTGAAGTAGGAAAATGTCAACTTGTCCACTTAGGCCAAAAGAATTAAAAAAGGCAGCATATTATTAAAATCGAGAGAGATTGCAAAACTTTGGTATGGGTATGAAGGATATGAGTATCCTGGTAGATATAAAGTTTAGATGCAGACACACAAGTGATTAGGAAGAAAAATGGAATGTTGTTGTTTATTGCAAAGGAATTGAAATTGAAAAAGTTGGGATGTTTTGCCACAGTTATTAAAGGTGCTGCTGAAATCACATATGGAGTACTCTGTACAGTTTTGGGCTCCTTATTTTAAAAAGTATATATAAAAGCCTTAGATTCAGTCCAGAGAAAGTCCACTCAATACTGAGACATAGAAGAGGAAATTTTTGGATATGCTCGGCCTGTAACTGTTGGAGTTGATAAGAATGAGAAACGAAAATATTGACGTATATAAGATTCTGAGGATAATTGACAGGATGGATACTAAAAGGATGGTTCCCCATGGAAGAGACTAGAACTAGGGTGCACAGTTCAAAGTAAGGGGTCTCCCATTTAATACAGAGTTAAGGAGAATTTTCTTTCTTTCTCAGTGGGTCATGATGTTTTGAAGTCCTTTACCCAGAGAGCAGTGAAGGCAGGGTCAATGAATACCATAAAGCTGAGGCAGATAGATTCTTGACTGACCATTAGCAAGTTGAGATTTATCAGAGATAGGTGGGAATGTGAAGGCCACAATCAGATCAGCCGTGATTTCATTGAGTGGTAGGATGGAACTGAGGGGTCGAACGGCCTAGTCCTAATTCATAACTTTGTATGGGACTAAAATTAAGAAGGGGGAAGCAGGCTGGAAGAACATTAGAATGATGATTCTGTACTGTTCTGAAGCACATGTGAATATAGCTTTAAAAAGTCAGCAGTTGAAAATATAAAGCAGCTTCATATGTTGCCAGGTATTCACTTCCAGAGAATAGTATATGTGGAATAGATGGTTGTTTTCCTGGTATGATATAAATTCTGATTTTATATGAAGAAATACATCAGGAATTTAACAGGACTGTTGGTAAAGGATATTCTGTTCTCGATGAGGCTTGCTGTAAGTTGCCACAATTGATTCATCAGGCCTCTAAACATTCAGTTATTGTATTCTTTAAAACACAGCCCTAAAGGCATCTGAAGTGGGAAACATGGTTTCTGAATAGAATATATCTGCACCAAACGGTTGGTTTGATACAATGCAACACACACACACACAAAAGAAATTGCATTGAGTGTGGGGTCTGAAGGGCACTGGATCTCCCATTGATTACAGTTATTTCCCTGATAGCCAGTGCCATTTCGTAAGATGCTGAGTCAGCTAGCCGAGCGCACTATCTCTGGCAAGTGAAAGTGTCAAATAGCAAAAAGTGATTGTTCGACTCTGATGGCACATTTTCGAGGCAGTGAGCAGAGAGAGAGAGATAGGGAGAGAGTGCAAAGGTATCCACAGGAGGAAAAGATCAACAAAGACCAAACAAAGTGTCGGAGGGTCCAGCTTGCCAGGTATAGCTCTGCAGGGAGAAGCTGGTCACCTTTCTGACCTGGGAGGCTTCTACCGCCGCAGTGCTCCCGTCTCAGTAAATCAAGCTGAGCCTTGCCTTGCTTTTGCTGCACTCGTCAGCCAGACAGGCAGGTGTGCACTTTGTAGTCAGGGACTCAAAGCTAGGCAGCCGAGAAATGTCAGGAATTCGGAGCTTGCGGAGATCACGGTCTCTGTCCGATGAGTCAGCCGACGGAGTGGAGCTGGAGCCTGAACCAGAAGATCTAGACTGGGATAACTACAGCGTGACCTTGGAGGAGAGGATAGCAGCAGTACGTATTCCCTTTCACTTGCAAGTTTACCATCGTTCGTCTCTTTCACCTAGCCCGTGTGGAAGAATGAGTGCACTGTTCAAACCCACTGTAATGTTGGCCAATGATAAAGCTTTGGGAGGAAGAAAGAAAACTTGAAGCAGATTGCACTGAGTTTGCTAGCGAGGTACACTGTAATTGAACACAGTTGGCTTGTTGGTTGTTCTGTGTGTACGAGTTCAGCCTCCCCTGAACATTCAGAACTTAACTCTTTGTGATTTTACCTGGCGAAATAGTTTCTTAGGAACTGTTTATCTCTTGCGTTTGAAGGAAAGTCATTAGAAGTCACAATGGTTTCGTTATGTGGTTTAAAATCGAACATCACAATCTCTTTTAAGCAGGAGGCTAGAGTTGTGAATATGAAGGCAAGGTTGAAGCTTCTTTTTGACATTTTGGCAAGGCTGATTCTGATGGTCCTTTCTGAGAGTCGGTGCAGTAGATTAAAGTTATCAAAATTGATGAGGTTTGTCAGAAACTGTGATCGCTTAACCCTTTACTTGCAGTGTGAAGTGTTGTTGGCATACTTCAAAAAGGACAAAAATGGGAAGATGTAATTTTTTTCCCAATGATTAAAGTTCTGGAGTGCACTGATTCCCGTGATGTGAACATTGCTGAGTTGGTGCTTGACAGATTTTGCCAGAATACAGCACACACAGCTGAGTGTATAGCCGTAGTTTAAACATGTGAGCTAAATGTTTGATTTTCTTGAATCTGTTTGCCTATGCCGCTTGGCTACCTGTGTCAGCTGGTTTCTCAGCAATCTTACCGTTGCTGCACAACTCAATCCTCGTTGATCCACGCATTGTGTTTAGAGATGCAAAGTTTTCTGATTCTTGGGCATCTGAGAATTAATAACTAGTTCCCCGTTGGTCTGTCTATTCACAGTGTCTAATTTCTATGATATCATCCATTTCAGCAATGATTTGCAGGCTTCCCACAGCCCAGTGCATCACAATGTCTGGTTGTCTGGACAGTCAAATGTATTTGTGTGCTTGGTGTTGAGTTTCCCAGGCAATTCTTATATTTCTATTTTCATGGAAATCCTTGGACTTGTAGCTACATTGCTCTTAGTTTTTTGTGCAACCTGTAAAGAGAGCTAACTTTACTAGGGATTAAATTCAAAATTCAGAATTAGTAGTGTGAAATTCTGATTTTGTTTCATTATCATTCTGTGCACATGGCAACATGTGTAAAACATGTTTTTATAAACTTCCATAATAATTTAACATTGTACATTTAAACCTGATTTGATCATTTGCTTTTAATGAAATTATTATTTTCATTACCGTACACTACTATTCTAGGTTCTTAGGGTGCAGTGTAGTGTTCCTACCACAGGACAAGAGGTCCAGATTCAAGTTCTACCTGTATAGAGATGTGCCTTCGCTTGTCTGACTAGGTTGATTACAAACATTGCTTTTTTGTGGAGTATGTTCCTGTACTTCAATTTGCAAAAGTTGGAAAATTGTTTTCCATAGTGAAATTAATTGAGGCATTCAAAAGGGTGTGAAATGATTATTTGGATAGAAATAACATGTAATAATATGGGGAAAAGACTGATTGGCAATAGGTAATAATGTTCATTTGAAAAGCTAAACAGCCTACACCCTAACAATTCTGTGATTCTGTGATCTTGAACACACTGCCGGACAGGTTGATGGATGTAACATTGAATAAATAACTCAAAAGGCAAATTTTTCATGCCGATGGATAAAAGAACCAATTCAACAGTCCTTTCAAAAAGGCAGCACCTGTGTGAAAGGACAAAAGGACTCTGACTGTACTGTCAGATTCAAAGAAAAGCAGCTTTAAGAGTTTTGCCTTTCTCTTTTGAATTGTATTAATGGCATGATCCATATGGAAACTCTAATTTAATTCCCTTGCAAAATCTTCAGCTCAGACAGCAGAAATGGCTGGAAGAGATGGAAAAGGCTAGACAATCAGATAGAATTCCAACTCCTAATCGAGAGACCTATTCACTGGAAAACCCTTGTGTATGGACATCGAGTGAGACCAGGATTAAACTCAGGTGCAGCGATTACCATGATTAAATATCCTGGCATCCACACTGTCTCAGCTGTATCAAATACGTCCACTTCCATAAGGCACTGCTGGACCAGCAGTAGCTGTGGAATTCTCAGGAATACATTCAGGAAAGGGGGTGGGAAATCCTGTCAGGAATTATTAAAGTAAGCAATATTCTCATTCATTTCCAACATTGTGATGTTTCTTAAAAGTAATGGCATCTGGAGGAGGCATATCCAGAAAAAGCAGCAGAGTCTAACAGTATAAAGAAACTGAACTTGCATCAATAGGGTTAAGAGTCCTCAAGCATGGATACAGAATCTGACAGCGTCAGCTATACAGCACAAGTTAATTAAGCTCACCCTCACTCTGCTCTCAGCCAGCCAAATGGCCCTACCAGAATATCACAGCATTTCTTTTCTTTTTTTTAGAAAAAGTTGTTAGCTTTTGTTTAATTTTTTTGATCAGATGTGGGTAAAACCAATATTTGTCACCCATCTCCATTTAACCTGAACAGAGTGTTTTCCTTGGTCACTTTAGAGGCAGTTAAGAGTCAACTACATTGTTGATGGTCTGAAGTCAAATTTAGGCAAGGCCAGTGTTAGGGACCAGACCAAACCTCCACAAAATGTATTAAGAAGATAGTCTAGGATCCTAATTTTTTCTTATTTTAAAGGTGTTGTGTTCTAGATGTAATTTGATTGGTCAAACTGCCAGGCTTGAAATAAAACATACACTATCAATAGAATACAGAGAAAATAAAAATAAAAGGAAAAGAATTGGCTTAATTGTAACAATCAAAATGCTTAACAGAATAATACATACATTAACTAGTACTAATTAACTGTTCCAATGCAGAAACATCCCGCCACCGAATGCCTCAATCTTCCTTCATCAAAGACGCAACAACGCGTCAGCAATTACATTCTTTCGTCAGGCCACATGTATAATTTTCAAATTGAATAGCTGCAACAATAAGCTCCATCAGGAATTTTTACGCTTAAATTTTCCAAAAACTTTCAGCGGTTATGATCAGTATATCCACTTGTCTCAGACACATTACTGGCAATATAAATGTTGAAATGTTGCAATGACAGCACTAAACCCAAGGACTCTTTCTCAATTGTGGAATATTTCTGTTGAAGATTATTCAACTTTCTGGAAAAATACCAATAGGTCTTTGTATCTTCTCACTGTCTTCTTGCAAATGTGCAGCACTGACACACACATCACTCACATCAATGGCCACCCCTAATGGCTTTGCGTAATTAGGTGTAGGTAACATTAGGACAGTGGTTAACACAGCTTTCAGGCTGTCGAATACCTCTGACATTCCTCAGTCCACTGAAATATTCCGCACTTCTTCAACAAGTCAATCAGTGGAGCAGCCACACTGCTAAAATTCGGTACAAACATCCAGTAAAAACCACTCAGTCCCAGGAATCGTTATTCATCGATGGTATGGGAAATGTCCTAATAATCTTTGTTTTCACATCCTGTGGGACCATTTGTCAACGTCCAATAACATGGCCCACGATTGTGACTTGGGCTTTTGTGAACTAGGTCCTGGTCAGGCTGATCACCAAGCCCGTTTCCCGAAGTGGATCAAACAATTCTGATTGATGCTCCAAATGTTCCTTCCATGTGTGCCTACAAATCACCAGATTGTCCATGTTCACCGCACAATTGGGTAATCCTGAAATGACTCTATTGGTTAGTCTTTGAAATGTGGCTGGCACATTTTATACCAAATGGCATGATTTTAAACTTGTACAGTCCATTTGACATCGTGAAATTTCCTTTGTTCTTTCAGATAAAGGTACCTGCCAGTATCCCCTGAGAAAGTCCAACTTAGAAATATAAGTTTCTTGTCCCACCTTCTCAACACAGTTTTCCAAATGTGGAACAGGACATGAATCAGATTTTGTCACTGCATTGATTTTACCATAGTCCACACACAATCATTGGGTACCATTTGGTTTTGGCACCAATACTATGGGTGAGCTCCATTTGCTGCAACTCACTGACTATATTGTTTTCGAGCATGTGTTAAAACTCTTTTTGAGCTGTGCTTAACTGGAATAACATTTTCTGTATCCACATCATGCATAATCAGATTAATACTTCCCAGCTTATTCCCACACATCTCTCCAAATGATTGTAATGACTCTTTCAGGAAATTTGATTTTCCTCTGGAAGGTAATTCAATATTTTATCCCAAATTTTGAGAACTTCCTTATTGTCCAATCCAATTGGAGGAATGTCCAATTAAGTATACTCTGAACTTGGTTTTTCACTGTGTTGTAACCAGTAACACATTCCTTCTGCTTTCCTTCCCTATCAAAACACCTTTTGAGCATATTCATGTGAGACACACAGTGAGATTTCTTTCCATCTGGTGTTTCTATTAAATAATTCACCTCACTCAATTTCCTTTCGATTTGATAAGGCCCACTAAACCTTGCCTTTAAAAGGTTCACCTACCACTGGGAGTAACATGAGCAATAAATCTCCACTAATAAAATTGTAATTTTTTTGATTTTGTGTCTGCTTCCTGTTTCATCGCATGCTGTGCTACTTTTAAATGCTATCTCGCCAACTCACCTGCACTATTTAATCATTCCCTTAAATTTGACACATGGTCCAAATGTGTGATCTCTGAACTCTGAATTGCCAATTTCTCCTTAATTAATTTCAGTGGCCCTCTCATCTCATACCCAAAAACTAATTCAAATGGACTGAAATTAGTTGATTCATTAGATACATCCCTAATTGTAAAACGTACAAATAGAATTCCTTTATCCCAATCCTCTGGATAGTCTTGACTATAAGCCCTCAACATGGTCTTTAAATTGGATGCCACCATTCTAATGCTCCCGGTGATTCTGAATGGTTTGCAGTGGATTTGGATTAATTCCTAAGCTGACCATAACTTCCATGAATACTTTTGAAGTAAAATTTGACCCTCAATCTGATTGTACTTCTGTGTGTAGTCTGTATCTAGTAAAAAATTTGAGTAGCTTGTATACAATCCTATCAGCTATGATATTATATAATGGAATGGCCTCTGGAAATCTAGTAGACAAATCCATTATGGTCAACATGTACTGATTCCCACTTTTTGTTTTAGGTAGAGGTCATATACAATCAATTAAGACCCTTGTAAAATGTTCCTGAAATGCAGGAATGGTTATTAAGGGTGCTGGTTTTATTACTGCCTGAGGTTTTCGAATTACCTGACACATATGCCACGTCCAGCAAAATTCAACCGTATCCTTATGCAATCCAGCCAATAAAAGTATTTTTGTATTTTGGCTTCAGTTTTCCTTACTCCCAAATGACCTCCTACTAGTAATTCATGTACTACCCACAACACCTCCTTTCTGTAACCCACTGGTAATTCAACTTGATGAACCTCTGCCCATTTCTCATCCACCTGAATATGTGGTGATCTCCAATTCCTCATCAAAACATCCTTTTTAAGACAGTAACATTCTGGGATATACTCAAATTCTTCTTGTGTGTATGCTTTTTGATACAACTGCTTTAATTTTTCCTCTTTAATGTAATTCAGCTAATTTCTCTGAACTAAAAATATCACTTTGTCTTCCAAATGATCTTGTTTTTTTTTCCCTCAACTATTTGATCAAACATAGTCTCTGTTGATTAAACTTCAACTTCCTTATCTTTATTCTTTGATTTCTCCCCCTATTTCCACCTGTAGCTTTGTGACCTTGTTACCACACAATCAGGAAAACTTCCAGGCGAAACTTTCTGTAACACCTCAGTTGCCTGATTTTTCACAGGCTTTTCCACCACAGTAGACATCACTGCCACCTGAGATCCAGCTTTATAATACCAAGGATAAATTGTATTCCTGGAGCTGAGAACTTCTTTATTACTCCCACCACCGCTTCACTTTTCATCGGTCTCTCCTACTATGCTTTATATAATAGAACATTGCTCTTTTCACCATGAATTCCACATATTCCAACCTTGTCTGGCAACACTCTTCTGAATTACATATCTCCTCATCTCTCAACAAAGATTGATGGCTCTGTAAATCTTAAAATCTTAATTTCTCTATCTATTCCTCCTGGCATACATGAGTAAACCTTACCCACGCAAGGAAATTCTTTAAAGAGATCTAGCACTTTTCTTCTCAACCAACTCCTGAAATTCTTTTGCAGCTTTTCAGCTTCAACAACTTTCTTTTACTACTTCAACAAAACCCACTGCCTTATCCTATTTTCCCCACATCCGTCTTCCCCGCACTTTTTCTACACAACCAACACTGCAACTTCATGTGGCCTAATTTATTACAGTGAAAAAACCTGAGCTTTTTTACTTCTTTTTCCCCCTCTCGGATTTCCTTTCTACTCTGTGGTAAACTATCTTCAATGAGATCCCTGTTTCCCTTATTACCAGAGGATTTCTCTTTTCCCTAATTTCTATTCCTCACTGGTTGAAATTGAGGTCAGAAGCCAAACTTTGATTTATGAACCTACTCATGACCATTTGCCATTTCTGCTACTAATCTTGCTGTTTTAACTCTCTTCTCTTCCACATGAATTCACACAACTTCAGGAAGTGAATTTTTGAACTCCTCCAAAGTAATCATCTCTCTAAGAGCGTCATACGTTTGATCTGTTTTCAATGCCCTTATCCACCTATCAAAATTACTTTGATTGAAATTTTCCAACTCCATGTACATTTGTCCAGGTTCTCTCCTTAGATTCTTAAAACATCTCCGTAGGCTTCTGGTATTAGTTCATTTGCACTTAAGGTAGCTTTCTTCACCTCCTCATACTCCCCAGATACCTCCTGATAGTAATGCAAATAGCTCATTAGCTCTATCTACTAACTTTGTTTGGATCAATAATACCCACATGGTCACCAGCCCTTTCATTTGTTTAACCATTTTCTCAAACGAAATGAAAAAGCCTTCTACATCCTTCTCATCGAACCTTGGCAATGCTTGGATATATTTAAACAGATCCCCACCAGACATTTGGCTACAATGGGATTGCTCTCCATCACTATTTCTGTTTCACCTCTACCTCCACCATTTTAAGTTGACTTTGAGTTTTTGATTCCAACTTCTGAAGTTCAAAAGTTCTTTCTTTCTCCCTTTTCTCTCTCTCTCTTTCTCCTGCGAGAGCATTCCTTTCCTTTCTTTTTCCTGTGCTTTTAATCGTAATTCAAACCATTTCATTATTAAAGCTGCTTCATTTGCAATTGAACTTTAGCCATTTCTAATGATTATAATGGCATTTCTGGCAATCCTAAACATCAAGCTATCGCTGTGAATACCTTCCCTTTTCACACGGACCAAAGCAACACCAACTCCAAAAGCTTTGCCTTGCTCACATTCTGAAAAACTCCCAAAGTGACTTCTTCCAGCCCCAGGAAACTCTTACTGACTGAGAGAGCTATTATTAGACAAGGCACACCCTATGTAAACTGACCAAATTCAACATCCAAGAAGAAAACACCAACATTCACTATTCACTGCCTTTGAATCCAATAATCCTAAACCCAACCTGGAATTAGGGATTTTGATCCCAACAAGAGCCTCCAGTTTGCTATGGATCAGACCAAAACCCCTCAAAATATATTAAGAAGATAGTCTAGACCATAACCTTTTCTTATTTTAAAGATAGATGTAAGCTATTATATTCCGGGTGTGATTCAATTGGACAAACTACCAGGCTTGAAAAAAATACATTATATACACTATAATTAAATTACAGACAAAATAAAAAGAATTCACTTCACCGTAACTCTATTGAAATGCTTAACAAAATAATATATAACTATTGGTAATTAACTGTTCCAATAGAGTAACATTCCACAAACATTTCTTTGGCAAAGGCAAATAAAATCGATTGTCTCACATGCAATTTTAGCAGCAAGAGAGCCCCAGCTTTTATCTGTAACAGAGAAAGGAGTAAGAACTTCCACATCCAACTTCAAGACCCCAGCAACTGCTACTGAAGGATAAAACTAAAAATAATCCTCGTTCTGTGGGAGTTTGACCCCACCCACTCAGGCTACTTCTATTGTTCCAACTTAAAATAAGACCCAAGGCCTCACAAGTAGTTTACTTTATTGACTTTAGAGCAGACTACCCTGCATCTGTGTCAACCTTTCTCCATTAAAAAAAGTACAAAATACACATCTTGAAGCCATAGTATTGTCACATGAGGTAAGGATGGCAGAGTTCCTTCCCTAAAGGATACAATTATTACTGCTGCATGAGTTTTTATGACAATCAATGGGGCTTTTATAGTAATCATTACAGTTTAGCTTTCAATTCCAGCTTTATTGACTTTATCCCCAGACAATTTCTCTGACTTACTGGTCCAGTGATACCACCATTTCCCCTTGATTAAGGAATGTATGGTTGAATAGCAGTAAGTGATTTTTATTTAGAAAGAGGACCAGGTGGCAGGAGGAGCACATTAGAAGTCAAATGCCATTTCTAATTTTTTTTTAATAAATATTAAGATGTTTACTGAATTTAAAAGAAAATGGATTTCCATTTGTCTCATTGGCTATACCTTCTATATTTGACAGGTGATATTCTACATAAACCCCTGTTTGGCAGTTTGCCAGTTTTACAGTGAGAGAGTCAGAGAGAGAAGATAAATGGTACATAAGCAGTATTAGCAGCACAAGCACATTTATAAAAAGCTATGCACTTGGATTTCACTCTACGTTTGCCGAGGTATTTAACGTCCTTTTAAAAGCAGCGTGGAGTTCTTTTCAATGTTTGTCCGCGCAAAGAGCTTTTTTGCAGAATAGACACTATGTTTTGCTGCCCTGTTAAGCAATAGGTGGAAAAGGCAGATAGATAATGTACAAGATGATGGGAGCTCGCATTTTCCTTTGGAAAAAGAGCTGTTCGGTGTGTTGATGTTGTAACTAGATCTGTCAGTGCAAAATAAGAGGCTTGGCAGCCTAGCTTTCTTTGCACAGTCAACTCTCCTGTTCTGAATTGGAACCTGGTCTTCATTTAGTAAGGAATGCTGACAGAGCTCTCTCTCACGCACACATAGCCCCCTGATTCTGTGCACACACAGAGACAATGCAGACTGTAAATCAACAGAGTCCGGCCCTGAACAGCTGCCAATCATCTTCACAGGGGAACCCCTCTGACATTGAGCAGCGCTGCACGCAGTTGCTGAAGGTGAAACTGCAGCTGGAGGCGCAGGTCGCGGAGCTGAACGGGCGGCTGCTCGACCAGGAGATCTGCGCCGCTCAACTGGGCACCCAGACATACAAGCTGGAGACCGATTGCTGCAACCTCAAGACGGACACTGGGCAGTTGGAGTCCACCTTCACCAAAGTGGAAACGGATAAGCAGGTGGGTGGAAACCTGTGAAACGCGCAAGACTAATTGGGCCAAAAAGGGAAGCACCGTGCTGGGATTAAGCCTCTGGTTAAAATGTACAGGCGAGTGGATAGCGCAGTGCACATTAATCATTCAATCAGCAACCCAGGCAAATGCGTAGCTAGTCCATTGCAGGCATGAGCCTCTGCAATATTCCGGGGTGCGATGTGACAGTGCATTTTTGCACTTGAACCGAGTTATTCTGGGGCTTGTGGAGTGGTTTCAATTCGGATTGAATCCGTGAAGTCTGTTGCAATGGAAATTGGTAGGATTTGCTTTTATTTTAAAGGACATTAGAAAGAGTGTGTGAAGAGATTAGGGAATGCCTGAAAAGATAAGCAATTAGCAGCAATCAGGACTGCAATCTTGTGCATCTGTGAAAAAAAGAGAATCAGCCTTCTGATAAGGCCAGGAAACCAACCCAGCTGTTTCTGTTTTCTGTTGAAGAAGTTTTTAAGAATTGAATTTGCACTTCTGTCTGCAAAGTGATTTGTTTGAATTGATGCCTAACGCCTTATTAAGTTTACCACCCTGATGCTACCTAACAGAAGTGCATCATTAACTAGTCGACAAATCATTAACTCCTTAGATCATTACAGGCACTTTTGGTTTGAAAAAAAATGTCTTAACGTGTGAGTATTGTTTGGAATGGACATGGTGTAGATTTTGAGGAGATCTCATACAATTTGTTCAGTGATGTAGACACGGCAGCTCTTGCGCAATGATCTCCAAACAATAAAATGTTCACTTGTTCTGAATGCCCCTTTAATTTCTTTTTCCTGTTCTAACATTCTTCTCTATTATTTCCATCCTTCCTCTTGTTTCTTGCCCTCTCTATGCTTTGCCCACATCACCTGTATCCCAAACTCTCTAGCCTTACCCACATCACCCATATTGCTCGCAAAACAAGTGTCGGAGGTGGTACACAACAATCTTAGCTGATCCTTAGCCTTTCTCTGCACATAGCACACAGCACCTGACCATGCTTGTAGCTGAGAATGAAGGAATCCGTGTCGGGAAGTTGCAATTCCTTGAGTTCATCACCACATCCTTCACAGGCAGGCAATTGCACTACTGCATTCCACGTAGGGTTTCAGGAGGGAAAACTGAATGGTAGTTGGAAGCAAAGAATCTTTCTCTGATTATTGTTTCTCCTCTCCCATTAGTCCAGGCTGTTGGGATGAAGTGCAGCAATTCTACGACCACTGTGACTGACCTTAAAATGTCGGATGCAACAACTCGTGATAGTTAGGGATGCGATATTAGCACACTGATGCGGTATTTCTAACGGTACTGATAGAAGTCATGCACTGAGCAACAGCCATAACGTGGCTTTTAACAGCATCTTGGATGCAAGAGATGCTGCAACATACAGCAGGATTTTCGACTTGATGTTTCTGTTTTGACTCTTTATCAAATGTTGCAATCACTTAGGGAACAGACTGTGTTCATTGTTTGCACGACTGACTGGTGCATTATCAATCGGACTGCCGAGTTATACGCGCCAACACGGCGCTAAACTAATTCAACATCAGTAGCAATGTTGTAGGATTTCCCCCCTTCTGAACCCCAGGTGAGGCTGTTTGTACCATTCTAACTGCCATCATGTCTGCATTGAACCTGGGGCTGCTTTGATTTCTGTGACTCAGCATTTCATTATCTTAATCAGTTGGGATTGGGAGTTCTCTCTGGTCTTTTGAAGTCTATTGAGTAAGACCATTCTGTAGTGTGTTTAAAGCAGCCAAAGTAATTTCAGTTGCGACCCTCACAGTCAGCAGAGAGGGGAAACTTGCTTATTAGCACGGGGTGAATTTAAATTGAAGTTCCAACATTGGAAGTATAATGCAGTGATTCAGCAGGCTGCTTGCAGCGTTGACCCATAACCCAGGTCTTGTTAGCAGGATCAACCCAGTCCTGTTGACAACTGACAGTTTCCTAAATTAGACAAAATAATATTGAGAGACTGCATGGCACAATGTCATTTTCTGTAGTTTGAAATTGAATCCACCCCCTAACAATATTTTCAAACAAAACTCCCATTTCCACCATTCCTGAAGAATCTGCTTGTTGCTAAATTGTGCATGAGATGGGCTGCTGCCTGGGAATTAGCCAACAAACAAGTCATGGGAGAAGCACAAGACAGGGACCTCTAAGTGAGCAATTCAAGTTCATGGAGTGAGTAGAGGCTTCATTGTCCATCAGCTCCTGATTCCACCCTGCTCTGCCACGTCCCCAACGTCCCTGAGACTTGGGACAGGGGTTTACGCTTTAGGTCAGGACCTCTAGTCGAGGTCAAAGGGGACCTGTGGCACTGTGTTGGGAGCTGACACAATATGTTGCCTGAATTGGCCAAGTAGTGGGTAGAGGGCATCCCATCCAATGGACAGTGGGCAAGCAGACTCCCAAAGCTGGAGCGGCCATTCGGGAGTCCCTGTGACGTGGAAGTTGCTTCGACCTGAGCTTTAGGTAATGGGGAAAGAGGGTGTCTCCAGCCAAGGTGCCATCTCAACACTTTGGTGACTTTTGAAATAAGAACAGCTACCTGGTCGCCATAGTGAGGATAGACCAGGTGGCCCCTGATCAGCATCCAAAAAAGCCGTTACATGGCTCGAGCTAGCTACTTGCCACTTGAGAGCAGTGGCCCATTCAACACTGAACGTGGTGTTCCTGAAACTGACATCTTGGTGGGGTGGGGGGGTGCGGGGGTGGGGGGGGGGGGGGGGTGGGGGGGCTGGGGGGGGCGGGGAGGGGGGGGGGGGGTGGGGGGGGGGGGTGCGGGCTGGCATGTCAGGGATGGGAGTGGGGGTGCAGGCTGGCATGTCAGCGGGTGATGCAACATTACCTTCCTCCTCATCTGCATTCTCACGCCCATAGTAGGGCAAAGCTTCTAGTCACTGACCCAGCAAAGAAAATAGTCTTATCAGAGCCTAGCACCCGGCCTGTCGCATTGAGTAATTTAGAAATGCATGCCTTGCTGACAGATCATAACCGGATAGCCAGTCTGAACCCTAATTCCAACATGTTACTTAAAAAACTGGCAGATGCAGTCAAGAGGAATGCCAGTATCTGCTCGCTGGTTGCCTGGAGACAAATTCTGGAATGTCACACCTATACAAATTCAGGGAAAGTTCAAATGGAGAGACTTAAAGGAAAAATTAATGAGACCAGTCCCCTGTCAGCAGGGAGCTACCTCCTACAGATAATCCTACAGATTTTCTGAAGAAGGGTCCCGACCCGAAACGTCAACTTTCCTGCTCCTCTGATGCTGCCTGGCCTGCTGTGTTCATCAGCTCTACACCTTGTTATCTCTATGCAAATGTATGTTTTGTTTTAACCAAATGACATTGATAGGAGACTGGATGGAATCACTTACAGGGAACAATTGTTACCCTGGCAGTGAATTCACAGTGGGTCAAATTTGGACAACTTGAAACTCCAACTGTGGTGAAACTGTAAACCATTGCAGAGTTGAGGTTAAAACCAGATGACCATGATCTCGGACTCAAAGGGCCAAGTGGCCTACTCTTGTTGGCCATGATAGTCAGAGGTTGCAGACTGGTAACCCTAGTTTTGCTGAATTTGTTGCACTCTTGTCATGTGACACAGCTGAACAGTCAGAGTGGATTTAGGCCATGCTAGAGCATTGAGTTACAGGCAAGCCAGCAGTGACAGGGTGGGGCCTCAGCCCAGATAGTTATGCACCAAGAGACTATTTTAGTGTGGGTGAAACCAGATTGTTTTACCATGTTGCTCTTTAATGTTATAATCATAGAATCACAACAGTGTGGAAGCAGGCCATTCAGCCCATTGAGTCCACACCAACCTCTGAAGAGCATCTGACCAAGACTTCCGTCCTCATAGCCTATCTTATCCCTGTAACCCTCTATTTCACATGGCCAATTCACCTAGCCTGCACGTCTTTGGACTGAGAGAGGAAACCAGAGCACCCGGAGGAAACTCTCACAGACACAGGGAGAATGTCTGTGTGGAGTTTGCGCAGTTGCCTGAGGGTGGAATCGAACCCGGTTCCTAGTTGTGAGGCAGCAGTGCTAACCACTGTGCTGCCTCTAAGATTGAAGATGAAATGTGCATTAGTAGAAAGCAAAGCAAGGAACCTTGCACTCCAGTGGGGTATGTCAAAAAAGATGGCATCAAAAAGATACCACTGCTTGCGAAAGACATGTCCAAGAAACCATGTTGCTTTGCAAATATCAAGCTTCTACCCACATGTAACAAATTGCTGGATGACCTCTGGTATTTTTGAAACATAGAACAGGGAAGTGAATGAGGGAGGATTATTAGCCTGATCTGGTGAATGCTCATGTGCTGATTTCCCCAGCTGATACTACAGCCTCATAGGCACATCGTGGGATTTCACACTCCTAAAGCACAGAATTATACTTGACTGCATGGCCAACTCAGTCAGTGATGGCACGCTAAGCAGGAAAAGAACACTAAGCTTTTCCAGAGCTAATTTCCAATGTTTTGTCTGTCTTTTAATGTACAAGGTCAGGCAATTGTAAGGTGTAGACAGATTGAAAAATAAAGACATTTCACATTGATTCTATTATTGAGTTTTATTTTTGATACAGTGCTTCTATAGGCAAATCGGTTTACGTAGGGGCTTCCTCGGTTATCTTGATGCTGTGCTTAACAGGAAATTGTTGGTGGGTCCCCTGCAATTCAACTTAGTACAATCTGGCAAATTCTTCCGTGTATTTCTATGCTGAACTGTCCAAGTTCCCCTCAGCCAAACTCCTTGGAAAAGAAACTGAGCATTGTATTGGTTACTATTTGTTGATTTTCTTTTTGTGCTTTTTCTATGAAATCGGATGAACCTCCTTAATGTCTGATAATTGTTGGGCGCATCTAAATGAAATAAATGTGGACCTGATTCCCTTTCGTTCTTAAGTGTTACAAAGCCACAAGACCAAATAACATTTTTGAGTCATGCATAATCTTTGAAATCAGAC